TGTTCCCGGCGTGTTGTTCATCGACGAGGTTCACATGCTCGATATTGAGTGCTTCTCATACATCAACCGCGCCCTGGAAGACGACCTCGCACCCATTGTCATCATGGCCAGCAACAGAGGCAATTCCCGCATCCGTGGAACCGACTACCGCAGCCCCCATGGTCTGCCCCTCGATTTCCTGGACCGTGTCGTCATCATCCACACAAACACCTACAGCCCTGAGGAGATCAAGCAGATCATCACCATCAGAGCTCAAGAAGAGGAGGTTGATGTCTCAGCCGACGCTCTGGCGCTGCTCACGAAGATTGGCCAGGAAGCGGGCCTGCGTTACGCCAGCAACCTCATCACCACCTCACAGTTGATTTGCGCCAAGCGCAGGGCGAAGCAGGTCGAGATTGCCGACGTTCAGAGAAGCTTCTCGCTCTTCTACGACCCGTCTCGCAGCGTCAAGTTCGTGTCCGAGTCGGAGAAGCGCTTGATTGGCAACGACGGTGCCGTCGACTTTACCGTCACTAATGGCCATGGCGATGCGATGGAGTTGAGTTAAGCGTGTTAAAGGGTCTTCCATGTTGGGCGTTTTTGGGCAGTAAAATAGGTGGCCACCCCCTAGGACGTATGATAGATTATGTACCATAAATGTTTGAATGGTAGCATCGTGACGATGCCAGGAATGCAAGGCTTTTTTATTCATTCATCCGTCTTTGTGACATGGTACTCTTTCTTTTTCGAGTGGGATCCAAATCGCGGAACGATCATTCAAACGTCGCAACCCTCGTCCAGGAATCGTCACCAACCAGCCGGAACTCAACGCCCTCACCAAAGTACCCGGCGTCCTGCCATGCCTTCATCGTGGGCCCATCGTACGGCCCTTGTTTCTCAGCATTATCCCGCCCATCCGTCCAACGGAACTCCCACATCCTCGAAGACAAATCGTCATCAGCGTCGTCCTTGGCCGGCTCAACCCACTGCTCGCCCGTCTCCCGCTGCCACTCACGCACGAGCATCTCTCTCTCCTCGTCGTAAATCTCGGCGTGGTCGCGGCTCAGCAGCTTGTCCGCCGCGTCGGTGATGGCCTCAATAGCCTCTTTTCTCTTCTGCTGCTCTGGACTGAGCTGGTCCTTTTCCTTGTCGACGTCCATGGTCTCATCGCCGCCACCCTTGTTCTGCTTCTTCAGTTTCCATTTGGGTATCTTTTTGGTTTTAGGCTGCCCCTTGCCCAACCTCGCCAGGGCCTCAAGGGATGTCTCGCCCCTTTCTAACCTCACGATCAGCGCCTTGAGCAGGTCCGTCGTCAAGATGTCGTCGTTTTCCATCCGTAACCTCCGCGCCTCGGCCTCGCGCTTCTCGTGTGCATCTGCCGCCTTCTTCAGATCCTTTTTACTCAACCCGTCGAGCCACTTGTCGTGCACGGCGTTCGGGTCCACCGCTTTCCTGATAAAGTTGCCGTCCTCGTCGAAGCGACCCTCCTCTTGCTCGTCCTTCATGTTGAACGCCTCAACCTTGGGCGCGTTACGCTTCAAGCCGCCGAGCCCGACTTCCTCGTCAATACCCTCCTCCTGCATCGCAAGCTCTTTATCTTCTTCGTCGTCGCTGCTCTCCTCGTCGTCTAGACGGATCTGTCCACCGCTTTTACTTTGCAGCTCTTGACCCTGAATCTGTGCATCGTCGAGAAAGCGCACAGCCTTATCCTTCCCTGCCGCCTTGGTGCCCTCCTGCGCCGCCTTGCCCTCCTTCTCTTCGTCATCGTCGTCCGCTGCAAACATGTCGTCGTCCTCGTCGTCGTCCTCGTTAACCCTGCCCCCCTTGCCGTTCGCGCCGCTGTCCTTGGCATCGTAATTATCCAACTGGCCAAAGAAATCCGCATCGCCATCCTTCCTGCCCTTATGCTTCTCATTGGCGCGCGACTTGAAGTTGCGCTCGTTGTCCGAGTCGCTGTCGTAGCCGTCCAGGTTCACGGCGCCGCGCTTCGTCGCTCCCCCGCCGCCGCCAATGACGTCGGCATCGAGGATGGCGTCCTCTTCCGGCGCATCGGGGGCCAGGGCGGAGGGGTTGCGGACATCAAACTTTAGCTTCTTGGAGTCGTGGCCGTCGTCTGCTTCGGCATCGTGGTGGTGTGTTCGCGCAAATGTTTCGCCTGCCCTTTTCGGGCGCGCTGCTGAGTGTCTGGAGGCCATAATTCGGGCTGGCTACGCCTGGGAATATGGTGTGGGTTATGACAGATGAGGAGTTATCGCAAGGCGAGGCTGGCTGAGCTTTGGCTTAAAAGAGCTTCTTTCTAGGTGGGCTGGATGCAGCAGCTCTAATTCCAAACGTCCCGTTCTAAGTTTCCTGGAATGCATCTGAGAGCTGAGAGCGGATACCTCGAATTCCCTACAAAGTTGCATGGGCATTAAGGTACCGACTGGGGTATCGGGCATGTCATTTTTTGGTGGAGCCTAGTCGAACTTCCAGTGGGTTTCGTCATTCATCAGTTGCCTTTGCGGCCCCACGTAAACCGCGGGTCCTCCTTCATCTCACCCAAAGGCCAAAGCTACCTTCTTTCACCACCTGCAGCAGCCACAACTGCTCTGATTCAAAGAAAGCTGCCCAAGGTAGCTTAATAACACATCGGATTTAACGTTACTGCTTTTCATTTTCCTCTCTCTGCTGCCCAAAAGATACTTTACTCAACATATCCCCCGCTCGATGGTAAGCTAGCTGTCCAATTCACATCTTTACCCCAGCTAATTCTGAGCTCCCAGTATCGCTTCGACCAGAACGAAGCAGACATGTATAACTTCGCACGCGGTGGCCGCCGGCCGATCGTCCAGCGATTCGACGAATACTACCGATGCTACCCCATGGTCATGGCACCTGGTCCCGAGCGACCCGACCTCAACTACGGTTCCAAGATCTTCCTGCCGCCCTCCGCCCTCGACAAGGTCTCGAAGCTCCACGTGCAATGGCCGTTGCTCATGGAGATTATAAATGGCGAGAAGGGAAAGCACTCACACGCCGGTGTGTTGGAGTTCGTCGCGGAGGAGGGCAGAGCATACCTTCCCCACTGGGTTCGTGCTCGTATCCTCTCGTTGGCCCGCGCTGGCCGTAGCGGAGGTGGCGTTGCTAACGTGTGAGATCAGATGATGCAAACCCTCTCGCTGGACGTCGGCGACATGATCCAGATCAAGACGACTTCCCTCGAGCTCGCCAAGCTAGTCAAGCTGCAGCCCCAATCGACCAACTTCCTCGATATCAGCGATCCCAAGGCCGTGCTGGAGAAGGCATTTAGGAACTTCGCCGCACTCACCAAGGGTGACGTCTTCAACTTCGAGTACAATGACGAGATCTACCACGTAGCGGTTCTCGAGGTCAAGCCGGAGACGGACAAGATGGGAGTGTGCCTAATCGAGACCGACGTCGAGGTCGACTTTGCGCCACCAGTCGGCTACGTCGAGCCAGAGAGGCAACAGAAAGGCAGCGGAACCAGCACACCCAGAAGCGGCCGTGGTGGCCTTCCGGCCGGCGGCCTGCTCCACAGCCAAGGGTCCATGGCCCAGTCCATCAACTACGGCGCCATCGCCCCCGGCGCGGCGACGACCAACTCCAAATTCTACGGCGAGGGCCAAAAGCTCAGCAAGAAGGGCAGCAAGGCGTCGACGCCCAAGCCTGCGACTCCCGTGGCGGGCGCCTCAGCTAACCCGCCCGCTCTGCCCATCCCGCGCCGGAACAACAACGGCCCTATGCCTCTCCGCCTTCCGCCCAATAAGCTCTTCTTCGGCTACGAGATCAAGCCGGTCAAGACCGATGACGACAAGAAGCGCGAGCTGGAGGAGCAGAAGCGTCCGCACTTTGCGGGCCAGGGCCAGACACTTCGAGCCAAGCGCAAGGGCGAGGCCGAGGAGAAGGAGAAGGCTCCTGAGAAGAAGGGCCCTGCGGAGGGACGGAGAGTGGATAACCGTGGCCCTAAGCCTCGCGGCATCGAGTGAGATGGCAATGTGCGGGTGCGAACATATTTGTGATTTGGGATGGATCAAATGGCGTTCGGGGGTATGATGGGTAATTATTCTGGGAGCATGGTTCTGATTACCAGGGCAGCATCGTCTGGGACAGTCAAACGGTGAGTAGATTCCCGAAAATGAAGTGATTGAGATTACGTACGAGTGCCGTGCTTGAGACGATCTTGGTAATACGAAATGATGGCCAAAGGCAAAGAGGCCAAGGGCACACGACATCAATGTGAGCAGTACCCTGACACTCATCTCCTCGCCACCGTTCACAATCGCGTTGTCGTAAGAATCGAAGTTATACAACACCAGGTCTTCACTCACAAAGCATTCAGTGTACTCAAGGATAGCAGATGATGACTTCCATTTCCGGCTAGAAAGAAAAGCTAGCAAAAGAGCAAGCCTGCTTCTGTACGAGCCAGATGGAAGATCCTCCGCAATCAGTATCAAAAGGGGCGGTAATCTCAGCCATACCCCGTCAAATCAGTCCGTTGAAGCCATTCCTCTCTGCCAGAGATTCCTTGTAAACGATAAGCCACCTGGCCAATCCGGCGAGAAGAGAAATCAAACCCAAAAGCCCTTCCTCCCCCCTTTCCAGGTTCCGTCAAATCCCAGCCTCCATTATCTCATGATCCCCCCGCGGTCTCCTCCTCCCCCTCCATTGCCACTCCAGAGCAACCAACCCAATGGCGGTGGTCGTTTGTTTTGGTGTTGCGAAGAAGAAAAGGTGTCCACAGTCGAAAAGAAAAGAGACGAAGAAGCCGAGAAACTAACGGAAAGCTGATGAGAGAGGAGGGAAAAAGCGAAAAGAAAACCGTTCCTGATGCCGAAAACAATGCCAGTTTCTGTCGAACCACCTTGCCGTCAAACCCAGTAGCAAGAAATGAAGAAGGAATCAAAAAAGACGGCGAACGAAAACCCTTCTTTCCCAAATTTCCCCGCCCATCATTAAAGTCATGAGAGCAGGATAAATTCAAGGAAACGAGTTTCATCGTAAACCAATCCTCCCGTCCTCATTTAATCCAAGACCATCGCGTTCGCAGCCTGGGCCGCAGCCTCAGTAGCCTCAGCGGCAGCCTTAGCAGCAGCCTCCTCCTTCTCGGCTGCCTTGCGCGCGTTGATCGCCATGAGATACTTGCGACCGTTCACGCAGGCGGTCCAGACACGCTTCTCGAGTTCCCACTAGGCGGGATCCATGACGTGAGCGAACTTGACGGACGGATCGGCCTTGGGGTCGCTTCTGACGCCGTTGAAGTTGTCTCTGAGCTTGAAGCGGGACTCGGCGGCAGGGGCGTCGTTGATGGTCAAGCTGCGGAATTCCTTAGTGAGGTCCATTTTGGAAAATTCTGAGGGGTTTGGAGAGAGGAAGTTGTGTTATTTGTGGAAGTTGGGATGTGGGAATAGAGTAGAAGGATAATCGGAACTTTGATTGTAGAAATTTGCGGTGTGAGGTATGGAAGATGGAAATATGGAAAGACGGAAGGTAATGATGGAAGGTAGGAGGTAGGTAGTGGGGTCAAATTTGAACATAAGGGTAAAGGTAAACAACAGACGGATGCAGAACAGGTAAGAGAAGCGATTCCGTGCTGTTGAAGCTGGAAGAGCCACAAAAACACAAACACAAGCTCAGGATCTGAAGTGGCGGGTTGACCAGAATGGGGTCTAGGTGAAAATACAGAAAATAGAACAAGAATCCGTAGTAACATACCTGCGCGAGCGGGCAGCACGAATGAAAGAGGGCATGGTGCCATTGCCCTCGAACTTGAACTCGACCTGGTGGTCACCGGTGAGGTCAACCGGCTGACCGATAAGACCAGAGACAGGAGCGGCGTTCTCCATATTGGCATCGGTATCGTTGCCAGTGAGATCAATATGCTGGCCATGAAGAGCAGCAACAAGACCTTCGTGAAAGATCTTGACACGCTTCTTTGAGTCCTCCATGTCGGACTCAGCATCGTCAACGCCATCGTCAGCCGAAATGGCAAGCCAAGCCATCTCGTTGGCAGCCTGGGCCGCACCAGAACCACCGGCAATGGAGATTCTAGCCGCTCTGGTGCCGGAGCCGGGGGCAGCACGCTTGCGGGAAGAAGGAACCGGAGCCGGTGTGGCAGGCATGTCGGCGGTCGCGTCCATCTGCTCGTTGAAAGGCTTGAACAGAGACTTCGAGAAGCGCTGACTGTGAGAGAAATTGCGATTAGTTCTGCCGGAAACTGTATCAAGAAACAGTCACTCACCTGAGGGCCGCGACGGTGTAGCTGTAGCCGAGGCGGTTCATGCGGCGAGCGACGTTAGCCCAGTCAGGCTTTATGCCAGCACCGCTGTTGGCAGTAGTGAGGATGGAGAGCAAGAGGGCCTTCTCGGCCTCGACGGTCCAAGAGTTGCCAGCCATTGTTGCGTTGCTGATGTTGCGATGAGTAAAGGTGGAAGAGAGTCGTCAAGTAAAGGGAGTTGAGAAGAGGAAGGTTTGAGAGAGTTTGTGTTGACCACTGGGTAGTATTAAAGTTGAGAGGCGCGGTGTGCTTGAGAGGAAGAAACAAACACAGAAACGCGTAGGAATGCGATGATGTGATAGAAAAAAATGATAGAGGGTGGAATATTCAGGTTTGGTCGTAATGGAAAGAGTTCCGCGATGAGTTGAGACTCGAAAAGTAAGATACATAGCATGAGTAAGAAACCACGTACCTGGTATGCTGTATATAGCGAAGTGTAATGATGTAAATCTCCTATGGGTGAAGATCTCGCTCTCTAGTCGAGGAGTTGTGAGAGGTGAGGTTGGTTGAAGAGGAAGAGGTCTGTGGAGGGGGTGAAAGGGGAGATTATCCTGGGTGAGAGTCAAAATCTCGAAAAGCCAGAGAGGTCAAGCAGGAAAGAGCTGTTATAATCTGAGAGCTGGCACTCGCCTCAACTATGGGACGGCACCCGCCTCAAGGGGCAATGGGATAGCACTCGCCTCGAGTTGGGACGACCCTCACCTCGAGGGTTGACAGACAGCACTCGTCTCAAGTTGGGACGGTACTCAGGCTCAAGTATTAGACGGCACTCGCCCCAAATATACGATGGCACTCGCCTCAAGGGGTAACTGGATGGCGCTCGCCTCAATAATATGAGAGATAGTGCCCGCCATAAAAGGTGAATAGGTAGCACTCGCCTGAAGTGTAGGATGGCACTCGTCTCAAAGGGTAGTGAACTGATATCCTTCTCAACAAGTTGGAGATGGCACTCGTCACGAAAGGTGAACATATGCCCCCAGACTCAAAGGGCTGTGAGATGGCCTTCGTCTAGAGAAGGCACTCGTCTCAGGATGTTGAGGGTCAGCACTCGCCTCGAAAGGTGAATACATAGAAATCGTCCACACTGTGAGATCATATTCACCTCAAGGATGAGTCGATGGCACTCGCCTCGAGAAGCCGCCTAAAGGTGGCACCCGCCTCGATGAGTAAAGACTGATTCGCCACCTGAAGGGTTTCATACAAGAAAGGTGAGAGGTGTGATCTCAGACCTCTAACCTCTTGATGAGTGTGACGAGGTAGTAGGACACTTCTTTTGAACGATTGGGAGGCAAGGACTTGTGGTCACATTGTGATGCAAGAGAGTAAAAGACTCAAGTAGAAGACGAGAAGCAAAGACTTCGACAAAGATTATAAGAAAGGGGGTTGGAACTTTACTAAGAAAGGATAAAGAACAAGTAAACTTGGAGCAATGAGAAGATGTAGCAGTCTCCGGCTTCCCTAAAAACGAATTGAGATCATGGAGCTTGGCACATAGTGCAATAAGGTAAGTGAACCTTAACCCAGATGAGCGGAAGCGGGAGCGGGAGCGGGACGGACAGGTCTCACTTGTTGCGATGAAGCAAAGTTCCGATGAGGGCAGAAGATAAATGTGGGTTTGAAGATTTCCCCCTGTCTAAGAGAGCTATTTAATGCCAGTGTAGCTCATGACTTCATGATGTAATGCTTCTCGCTGGCGGTCGTCTGACCGCTGTGCCGTCTCATGTCTCGTCTCAGGAGGTCCCTCAAACCATCTGTATATACTCTTCGTCTAGTTTCGGTTTTGTCAACCAGCCCTAAACGGTTGAGATGAATCCCTGTGGATAGAACAGCTAGAAACTTTTCGGCAAAAGGCATCTTGAAAAAGGAATAGGGATCACGAACGAATGAAATAGTACTCATCTTGAACAGAATCTTACGCCACAAGGCCCTCTCATCTCGGGCAATTTACCGGTTATGAATTTCCCCCACTATCTGCTTTGTCGCTGCTGATTTCGTTTCATCTCTGCAATGGATAGCTCGTAAGATGTGGGCAATAATACGCTAAGTCCATTCAGCTACTGGCAAAGGGAAGAGAGGATAGAGAGGCAGATAAACCCTAGAGCATCCATGACTTGGGATGTATGCACGCCAGACTGGGTAGTGGTGGTGTGTTTATATACATATCATGTAGTTAGTGAACACTGCTTGAAGAGGTACGTAAGAAGTCAAGTAGCATGAAGGCCTAAGGTGCTGGATGGCCCAGGGCTGATGGTGAAAGGGTTGGATGGAATAAGGCTAAGGCGGAGGAGGACATGTGAGAACATGGGAGCCAGGCATGAAATTGTGGTAGAGAATCAACGCTGATGCCGAAGTGCCACGGTTTGATATCTTAGAAGGGAAAAGGTATTGCCGGAAAAAAAGGTCTTGGTTTAGCAAGAAGGTGATGGATAGGACAAACCCGAGGCCGAGGCCGCCGTATTAATACAAGAGCATGCGAAATCAAGAAGCAGAAACTCGTCATAGAAATCGTCATTGTATGTGTTTAAAATTCTAAAGGCCCCCCTGCTTTCTTCCGGGAAGCATACATTCTAGGCCAGACCAGTACGCCGTTTGCAGGGTGTCGCGTAAATTCATTAGTACATCTGGTAGTCCGAATCGATGTGAGATGAGGAGTGACCAGCACAAAAGAGATAAGAGACATGAGACAAGAGAGGGAGAACAGAAAAAGGCCAACGACAGTGAAGAGAAAAGCCCGAGGTATCTTCTTTTTTTCCAACCCGGACCGAAAACGTATAAGATGACCTCTCCCTCAATACCACTCTCACACACACCAGTATTCGCTCGAACCATTTTTCAGGTTCGGAAATATCATGGGTGGAAATGGGTGTCCCAGTGCTCGTTCTTGATGTTCATGTGCTCAGGCATGAGAGACCCCAGCACGGGAGATCCATGCATGTCGTCGGTGGTATGCCCCTGACCGGCCTGGTGATCGCACAAGGAGCCGACGCCGAAGCCATCGATATCGTAGGCGGCATCAAAGGCCGAGTAGATTGGACTCGGTGCCCAGGAGTTATGGTCGTGCTCGTGGTGATGCTGCTGTTCCGGCTCGTGTGCGCAGGCCATGGCTGATGGGAGATCAAAGGTCGGGTGAGCGCCCATGAGGCTCGCTGATGGGCTGAACTGCAAGTTGTGAGGCGCGGAGAACATGTCGTCGCTACACGGTGTGAGCATCCTGGGGTGGAAAGCCTGCTGGCATTCCGTGGCGGTAGGAGACGCCATGGATGTTGGTGTGAACTGCTGTCGGTAGGAGGGCTGGCTATGCTCGTGCTTGACCTTGACAGGAGACCTGGCACGAGCCTCGGCTTGGTGGAGAGCCTCCAGAGTCCCTGGTTCCGGCTTGACCCTCTTCTCGTCTTCCTCCTCTTCTTCCTTTTTCGGTGGCTTTTGCTCCTTTTTGTTCTTCGTGACCCTGTTCTTGTTTGCGGTGGCTCTGTTACGTTTTTGAGGCTCGAGACCCAGCATTGCCGAGCGGAAACGGGAGTATCTCATGCGAGCAGCATGGCCGTTGGTGATGGGTTGTGATAGTATCGGATCATGAGCGACGGCATTCCAGTCAATCTGGGGGTTGAATAAGTCTCAAGTCAAGGTGATATGATGCGATAGTAGTAAGTATTACAGAGCACTTACATCCTTGAGGTTCTTCTGTTTCAAGATGGCGAAGAGAAACCTCGTCATCTGGTTGTCTGTATTGGAGGACATGTTGAGAGTGTTGGAGAGTAATCTCGCCTCGAGCTGACCAGGCTATGGGAATGGAGGTGAGGTCGATATTGAAGCCAGTGAGCTGGAGGAAAGGGGAGTAATTTGAAGTGCACAGCAACAGAAGCTGAAGCTTTGGCTCAACCCAGTCAACCAGCACACGACAGGCAAGTGTGGAGTTGAAATGAAGGAAATGAGTCACTGTGAAGATTGGTGAGGCAAGGCGAAGCCCAGATATATGGCATCCAAGTCAGCAGGTTGTGATCTGGAAATGGTGCAACCACTGAGGGCGAGGCCGGTCACCGGTTAGTGTGGGTGGTCAATGAGGGTGAGGCGGACAAAAGAGGCAGACAAGGAGGATTCGTCAGAAGGCAGCCTGATAACACCCCGGGACATCAACGGTAGTTATAGGTGCTTGGAGAGGGCCCATGGACCATGGAACTAAAGGGAATGGGCATGCAAGTCGGCTTAATGCTGGTACCGAGCCTCGATGGGGCCAAGTAGTTGTGGATTAGGAATTGGAGTTGGCGTTGGCATCTATACAGTATGAAGAAAAAGAAAGCCGAACGAAGATGCTTTCAGGGAAGACGCCGCGGCGCTTGGGCCGACATTTTATTGAGGTGTAAAAGTGGCAAACCCCTTGGTTGAGACACAAGGAATCAAAATAGTCCCTTGTTGCCTGGAGTTACGGCGGCAGGCTTTGACGGGGACGCATGTCCTTGAGAGAGTGTGTGAGAAATAGGAAGAGAGGGGGGAAGAGGGGGGTGTGTGACGTTTGTGGAGGGTGTGGAGAGATGATGTGGTGTGGCAGGTGAGGTGTGGTGAGGTGCAGACGCAAGTGCATAGCATCCATGGATGGGATGGGATGGTTTGGATCCAATGGCTTGGAGGTTTTGACGGCTGCCCTGCTCACGCTCACTTGAGCGCTGATGAAATGGTGGAGGGGAGCTAAGAGGGCCGAGGTGTGTCGCGGCGCGGGGCCGTGTCATTTGCGCGTAAAGTGGTTTGAATTCCCTAGCTTCTTGCGCTGTCTTTCTCATTTTTTTAATCATTTTTTTTTTTTGCCTTCCGGCGTCCGCAGATCCCTCCCCTGCACCCATCCCGACATGATGGAGTCGACTGGACTCTCTCCGTCGAATGAAGGTTTGAGCGGAAGGCCAGGAATTGCAAGGTATTTCGACTAGCGTGTCCGCCGATATGCGAGCACTAATTGATATCAACCATGTTTGCACTCGCAGGCAGAATTGACTCGTCAATTGACACGCAGTTCTGGGTCTTTTTTTTTTTGGGGGGGGGACTTTTTTTGCGGTCGAACGGGCCCCATCCCACCCCAATGCAAGATCCAGGAACGCCCAACGGACCACTTGAAAACGGAACAGGGATCTTAATGGCATGAGACAGGTATGCGGTATGGATGTGTGACTCACTTTTCGAGTACTTTAGTCCAAGGTAGCTTCGGAAATGGAGGGGGTTGGGGCGATTGGCTATGTCCATGTTGCAGCTCCCAGTTCGCGCACTATTCATTGGCGGCCTTCCCACACCGAGTCGTCAAACAAACTTACGCAGCAGGCGGTCGACAGACATTTGTGACGACGCAGCATGATGCCTTCTGATACGTACATGGTGTACTCAATCGCTTGCGAACACCCGGGTTTGTGCATCTAAGGTAGGGGTAAACCGGCTAGTAGCCACAAGGTTGGCGAAGCTTGCAGCGACGGAGCTTCTGTGATGCGGATTACGGCGAATAATGGCAAACAGAGTTTGAGTCTCTTGGCCCGATTTAGTGCCCCCTGGATTCGTGTTCCAGTCAATCATACTGTCGTAATCTCAACCTCGTGTCTGGCTGGGACATCCGTCGGCTGCTGGTGATGCGAGCCGGCGAGGGGAGGGGTCAATCGAGATGGCCGTCCAGTTTGGCATTTGAACAGCGGATTGATTGTTCAACGAGCAAAAGCACTTAGGAGACCAGAAAAAATTGCGATGAAACGACAGAGTGGATTTAGAGGTCATAAAACGTGTAGATATGGCGTCCAAAGACCTGTTTGTTGTCGTAGGCGACACGCGATGAAGTTGGTGGGATCGGGTGAAGTGGTTTGGAGACGCGCCTCGCGATTCCGAGGGGCACTGTGTCCTCGCAATATTCCCACGAAACCACGTGATGTGTCATCTAGACCCACTTTGCGCATCACCCACGGATCGACCTGCAGTTGCTGCCTGAGGTCTGACAGCGTCCGTTCTCCACACCTACCAAACCCGGCCTGAGATGGTGAGGAGAGGAGTAAAGCGGCGATTGCGACAGGGAACCTGGGTGAAGGGGCCTCCCGCGGCTGTTTGGGAGAAGCTTCAACGAGGTAAGCTGCCTTGGTTCTTGTTCTCATTGGAGTAAATCGCGCGTTTTTTTTCCACAGAGAGACCATGGAAGATGACCGCCTCACGCAGCTCTGTAGTCACGATTGAAGTTGCCTCTTCAGTCATCTGTCAGTCTGTCAGGGTCGCGCCATCCTCAGTGTGCGGCTTAAGTTAAGATGCATCCGAGACAGAATGCACCACCATTGGTTCCCGAGGTTGATCTCCCTTAGACTACGAGTACTCGGAAGGCTACCTTACACCGTCCGGCCATGTCTCGCAATCAGACATTTGACAGATACGCTATCATGGCCAATCGAGTCGGCTGCAGGCGGGCAGCGGGCCAGATTCGACGTGTCTCACGAATCCATGTAATACTGAACTGAACGCACAGCCGTCACGGCACAACTGACCAGGCAGCTCATGAACACGATTTCCGTGCTGAAAAAAACATGTTGGATCGTATGCAGCAAGGCGCGCTCGCTCAGGTCTTCTCTGGTAAGGTATGGAACGTGTAATATTCATCAGGCACTTGGTTGGAACAGCAGGCGCAGGTCAGTAAGAGAATTCAGAACTTGGAAGCTCTACTGTAAGTCGTCTGCCCAAATGCAACGGAGCACTACGACACTGAGGAGGGCGCCGTCAATTGTCGCTAACCTACCTGCAGCCAGTGCAGGGTGCCAAAGCTCGCTTGATGAACGGCTAAACGCCGGGTATTATGCACATTGGAGTCTTTCGGAAGATCCACCCGCTGTCTTGTAGGCGTCTTTGGCCACGATAACTCTTGATCTATGGCCTCCCCAAACTTGTTTACAACTAACTGAAAAGAACCGTATTCACTCAGAAAGTATTACAGGAACTGTTGCCAGTCTTTTGGAGTTTTCTGTCGGGGTTTGAGGCTTTGCAGAGGTGCGTGCAAGTCGAGCTCTTGCCCGGCGAAACGTTAAACCGCGCCAGGGAGCCACTCAAAACCCAGCGCCTTGACTTTCCTGCCTCGCGCCCCCCAACCACCTTTCGACCCATCGTTCTCTTGAGCTTAGCACACTACCAATTTCTCATCCTCGACCGCAAAGGATAGCCACCATCTCACATCCACTTTCAATCGTATAAGTCACAAGTATCAGGATATCATCCACGCGAATCGCCGACATCATCCGTCGCATTCGCCATGAATAAAAATTGGAATGACAGAGCCGACAAGGATCTGTTCTTTACCATCCTGTCTGTGAAGAACATTGGCGTCATCAGCGGTTCGGAATGGACAACCATCGGCAACCACATGCGCACACTGGGTTACGGCTTCACCAATGAAGGCTGTAGGTGAGTTGGCGCGCCTCTCTCTCATGTTTAACCTTCCGACCCTACGCGCAACTTTCTTCGTAACGCACAAAGACGTCGTCATTGCGATTCATTATTTCTAGAGCATTGCGCGTACTTACGCGCCTTCACTTTTGCGCCGACCCTTCTCTTACCATCTGCATTTCCCCGCTCTGTATTCTCTCCTAGTCTTCTTAGTGCTCATTCTTCTCTGTTTCCCTTCTGGTCCCTCCAGAATGGACCTTAAAATCTATTATGAAAGACAAGAGACGAAGTCAAGGACTGCCTTCAAGGCCCCTTTTCGCACTTTTCGTCGGGCCTCAGATCTATCACGTCACCTCGTTTCGTAAAGTTCCACTGCAAGCAACTAGATGCTCTGTAGCTGGGACGACCTGACCATCGATGTTGCTTTACCATAGCCTTCTCATCTTCTCATCCTGGATCCGTCTCATTTGTTCCATTTGCATACAGCAACTAACGAAATGCAGACAACACTTTCAGGGCCTTCGTCGTGCCCAACACAAGAGTGAGACAAATGGAGGGAGTCCTGATAACCCTCGCAAAGTCGACCCAACAACAAATCCAATCACTCGTCGTCCAGGCCCGGGTCGTGGGAGGCCCAAGAAGCAACCTCAGCAAGCCGCGCAGATGGCCATCGCCGTCTTGGCTGAGCGAAATGGCGATACCATCCAGCCTAGCCAACTTAGTCAAGTCGGACTCGATCAAGAAGTTCAAGCTGGTCAACCTCAACCTGTTATTCAGCCCGACCTTCATACCGATATAACCGATCTTCAGTCAAGTCTTCATCAGCCCGATTTCCAGTCCAGTCCCGAGCCCGACCTTCAACACAATCACCAACCCGACCTTCAACACAATCACCAACCCGACCTTCAACACAATCACCAACCCGACCTTCAGCATGACCTTCAGCATGACCTCCAGCATGACCTTCAACACGACCCCCAGCCCGAGCACCAGCCCACTCATGAGGAGTCTATCCAAGATGACCACACCCACTTGGAAACATCCATCCTGCCTGACAGTCTCATGGCGGAGTCTCTGGACCTCCCCCTTAAAGACGACGCCCTTGACTTGTCTCTCAAAGACGACAACAATGACGAACAAGACGGCCCCGATGCCAAGAGAATCAAGCTCGACAACCCTGCTCATGACCATGACCATTCTCTCGTCGATGACGAAGCTGTGTTAGCTTTGGCCGCGCACAGCGAACCCCCTTCTGATAGCTACAACTCCGAGTATCCCACAGCCGGCTTGACCGGTTCAGACCCGCACGCTTCCTTCTTTGGTCCTGAGACATGAGAGTAGTGGTCGACCCGCTTGAAAGCTTATGAGGCCAAGGCGGCGTCGGACGCAGCGAATACATTCGAATTTGGCGAACTTGTTGATTTAGACTAGGCGTCAAATCTATAAACCCGAGCCAGTCGATATTCCTCCTCCCCATCAGTTTTGTTAGGTCAAGGCGTTATGCATCAAAGCGGTAGCGGCATCAGGAGCGAGTTTATGAACACGACGAGGTGCTTGGAGTTTGGACTGATTGGGTTTTTCCATTGTCTGTGATCCTTCGACTTATAAGGATACATGCTTAACTGGCATTGACCGAGTTTTTCGATCGAGACTACTAGTTCTCGAGAACAATAAACTTCACAGAACTTGCCACCTCTTTCTACCTGCCATACATCCCATCGAGACGGTTCTATCTCGGACTCGAGAGCAAACGCTATTTCATCATTCTCTTTGACGAACGTCTACTACCTTCCAGAACAACTCAGGGTTCGATGATGCACTAAGACACTCCATGTCTGTCACCCTCCGTACGAGCTAAGCTACAATGAAGGTAGGGGCTTGCTACAGAGTCGAGATATCTAGAATGCTCTGGCCTTCTGGATGTCCCGTGCTAGCTCGTTCACCAAGAGACTCCTATTCCCATGAGTTCTCCTTACCAGCTTGTTTGCCTACCAGTACAATGACTCTTGCCCTTTAGGTTCTGTTCACCAAGCAAGCAGATGTTCTCACTCTTTGAATGAAATTGAAAAGTAAGAAGACATTTGCCCTTTTCGTTCCATTTAGCACTGAGAAAGGGTGCTCTCGCCCTATGGACTTCCTTGAGCAGCAAGAAGGTTCTTGCCTTCCAAGTGATGTTTGCCAGGCAGGAAAGATGCACCTTCTCTTGGGGGTTGTTCGTCTGACATTCAGACGAAGGCTTTGAGGCAGCTCATAGACCAAGACGAGGTTATAATCAGACGACGAAAGTGAGAATCTTCACTGCTCTAGACCTTTTGGCAGGTAGTCAGAAGGCTCCCTTCCTTCTGGTTCTGTTGATGTAGGATGATGTTGCCTTTTGACTTTCTTGTCTCGCATTCAGACGACTGGTTACTTTGAGACGATTCAGACATTCAGACGAGTATCTGTTCAGACGAGCGATATTTGATACTACTCTCACCTATGTAGGAAGGAATTAGAGGGCTCTTGCCCTTTAAGTTCTGTTTACTGAGGATGCCCCTGCCCTTTGGAATTTCTAAGCAACAATCAAGAATTCTCCTGCTCTTTGGATTTCTCGTCTCACGTTCGGACGATTGAGTTCTTTGAGACGATTCATACCTTTAGACATAGATGTGTTCAGACGAGTGAGATTTGATACTGCTCTAGGCCGTGTAGTCATATGGCTCTCGCCCTTTAAGTTCTATCTACCTACTGGAGGTGCTCTCGCCCTTTGGGTTTCTGGTGCCGGCGCGTGTACCAACCGGTGAGAGGACCCGGCCTCCTTGGGTCTCTATATAATTCCCTTCAGATTCGATCTCGAGAGCAATTTTTCTTTTCTTCTCTACACCTTCGACCATTCTCCTTCCCATCCATCGTACGATCATCCTAGTCTCTTTACCAAAACACAATTTCAGAATATCATCTCCAAGGGCTATTCAGTCTTACTATCTTCAACATCAACAAAAAACTTCATCACCATCAACAACAGTCAAGATCAACATCGCAAACATGTCTGACAATAAGCAGGGCGGAAAGTGGTCCAACCCGGCCTTTCTCCTTAGCCTGGCTGTTGGCTTCTACGACGAGCTGAAGAACGGCAGTCTCCCGCAGGAGGCAAAGGACCGTGTCGAGGCGAAGCTCCATCGCGATGGCTTTGAGGACACCACTTGGGATTCTGTCCGGTATGTATGCGACTTTTTGTGTTTATCTGTCCAGTTTCTGCTGTGGCACGTTTTTGCTGCCTGCCTCTCTTGTCGTGTTTTCTTTCCGTCTCTTGATTTTTGCAGTCAACCTGGAGCCCGTCTGTCACATTCGCTGCCTGAAACAGGTGGCTCAAGATATCATTCTCATCCCCTTCTCTACACACTACGCACCCATCCTGCCAGCCCCAACATCTTTCCCTGACACAAACCTTTTTTTCCACATTCCATCTATTATTCCCCATCAACCAACCCAGTACTACACGAACATAATCACCATGTCTGAGAAGTCTGCTCCCGGCGGCAAGTGGGCCAATCCGGCCCTCCTCGAGGCTCTGGCTATGGGATTCCACACCGTTGCCAAAGGCGAAGGCCTTACGAAGGAAGCCAAAGACGCCGTCATCCTGAAGATCCACGCATATGGCTTCACGGATATCACCTGGGAAGCTGTCCGGTGTGTATCTTCCTGCCCTCTGTTCCACTCTGGCAGTTGCCTCCTCCCTCACCCTGCTCTGCCTCTATTTATTTCTCACCTTGTCCTCTTGCGTCTCTTCCATCTTCCATGTCTCATACTCAACCCAATTCACATCAAGCTTTATCAACTGTTCACCCTCTTACATATCATCATCACATCATTTCTATCCATTTCTCCTACTGCACTTTGAAACATGCCTCGCTCAACGATCCGGTGGACGGCTGAGATCGACCAGCAGATCTTGGTCTCTATGGTCAAGACAATGGTTCCATCCACTGACCAGTACTCGCTCATCATCGAAGAGCTTCATGCCCTCGGTCATACAATGACCGCTTCTGCCTTGAAGTGCGCCTTCCACATTTTCCCTTCGGCCTTTCCCACTTCTGCCTCTCCAGCACTCTCCTTCCCGCCACTTCCCACATATACCCCCAGATCAAGCGATCTCTCAGTTTTTTCCTGCCTTAAACTCTCATCTTCACTCCCATTTTCACTCCAATCACCACCACTCGCCTATCTCATTACCACCTGCCTTACATTACCATTTTCATACCTCCCACTGCCAATCAAGATGGCTCCAGTCACCGTCTGGAACGATGAGGCCCGATCTGACCTTTTGGTTGCGCTTCTGTCGGTCATCAAGCCCTCTAAGGAGGACTGGGACCGCGTTCTTCCTATAGTCCATGCCAAGGGCTATGTCTACAACGCCAATGCTGTCACGTATTTCCTGCCTGCCTTGCCACGTTCATTTTCTCTCGTCTCTCCATTCTTTCTTTCGGAATTTATTATGCTTCTGCTTTCTCGAGATATTTTGGGTTTGCTTTAGATGCTAACAAGTCTCTCCAGGCAGCACATCCAGAAGCTCCAGCGCAAGGAGCTTAACGCCGGCGACGGCGGCGACGGTGAGGCATCTGCCTCCGCCACTCCCAAGAAGGCTGGCAAGAAGGCTGCTACCCCCAAGAAGGCCGGTACCCCCGCTACTCCCAGAAAGCGCAAGACTCCCGCCAAGTCCAAGGCCAAGGTCGAGGAGGCCAATGAGGATGATGAGGACGACGAGAAGGAGGCTCCTCCCCCCAAGAAGCCATGCACCCCTTCCCGCCCCAGGTAAGCCAAATCGGAATCTATTAGGACCAAGTTCATCTCACTAATCATATCTACGACACAGCATGAAGGACGAATTCCACGAGGACACCAAGGACACCAAAACCACCGTCGCCAAGTTCGTCCCCATCAACGCGGAGATCTAGATGCATTGTTCGCCCCTCAATACTATCGATTCGATTGCATCAACATGGCATTTTCAGGACGGTCCACTGGCTCTTCTGGAGTATGATATGGGAGGCTTGGATGAATGATACTTGGGGGGTTGGCAGCATTGGATCTTAATTGAAGGTCATTGGAATTGGCACATCACTGGGGGTTATCACCTCATTGCGCAAAGCAATTCGAGACAGGTCATGAGATACCTGCGGATACGGAAAAGTTACACTGAAGAATTGAGAAGACCATTTGCTTTCTCAAACTGCTTCTCCTTGGAGCCTTGGCAGTCGTACACCTCGACTTTTCGAGGGTCTTCCACCAATTCCGCGTGCCCACCGTCACCTCTTGCCCACCTTAGTTGCAATCGTTTGATGACTCATATTGCCTTCTCCTCACGGAAGCCGGAGATCCTTTCTCAATCTTTCCCGGAAGTTGGCAATCGCCGGGGTACCGAGTGCCTCAAAACACAGCCTCAACTAGCCGACTAGTCAGGCGCAACGATTCTAAGTCAACCCGGAAACTGAGGGCAGTGATGCAAAAAACGAGAAAGACTGTGACAAGTGGCTGGCTAGCTATCTCAGAACCACACCCCCAGAATGTTGAGCTCTTGGCTGAAGTAATGCGAAACAGGTTGAGAACGGGAGGACTCGTCACATTCTCATCGATGAATATGCAGACACTACGTGGGTCGAAAGAAGAAATTGGGCTCAAGAGCTTGATTAGGTTCTTTGACCAGCCGTAATGCACATGCCCGAAGAGTGTGAGAATCATGTCTGCCTATTCCTTGCACGAGTACTATGCTGAGTTGCTCGAAGCTGCAACAAATCGAACATCAGTAGCTGCAGCTGGCACTTTCTGGGCCAGGAGGGGCTAAAGTCTGAAATCCGCAGGTACTGCATCGCTGACCTGTATAAGGGAAAAGAGATGAGACTTCGTCCAGTACTGAGCCTTTGACAACGAAGATGTGATGACGTTTCTGGGCGATAGGACCAAGAGGTGAGTTGCCACCCCAGTATAGTACACAGATTCCAAAGCTTATGCAATTTGTTGAAGTTCGTTTTCTCTGCATTTCAAATCTTTTTGCCTAAACTGACGCTCAAATCTCTCCAGACGCAAGCGAACCCAAGAAGTTTGGGGGAGGAACCTAGTTCCAACTGGATTGTCAACTGAGCTTTTTGTTCATTTCCCCCAACATCTCCCAGCTATCTCATCCCCCGGATGCGCAGAAGACGGTTACCCCTGAAACACCTTAGAGCTCCGAAAGGGCTGCAAAACACGAGTTATCGCAGGATAGAAAAGCAGTTTTCCCAACAACCCGTCCAACACCGTCTATCCGATCAAGAGCACACAAGTTCCCAGTCCCATTCCCCGCTCGTCGTCGAATTAAGCCCAAAGCCGTTTGAAACGGTGATGAGCGGGGGAGCCGTCTAAGACCCGCCCCGGGCCCCGCATACCCCCGGGCGGAGATCACTGTGGAGACTACGGCAGCACGGGCGCAACGGGCCGGGACCAAGGCTTGCGTACCGTACCGGCATTGACATGAGAGCGGTTGGTGTATGCACCTATCTACTACCTTACCCTGCATAAGAAGATCTGGCTCATTTGAATTGAATCTAGAGTAAAAGAGTCTGGTACTGCCAAGAGAAGGGACTAGTTCACCGATAACACCAGTAGTAGACCTTTACTAATATGAACCCCGGTTGGATTTAGTTGAGTGGGTTTAGATCCAAGGGAGAGAAACCACGGCTCAACACATGGTAAGGTGTCAATCGATCAAGCAACTTGCCTTGTCTAGCAAGCTAGTTGACCGACTGTGAATACGAGAAACAAAACGCACAGCAAAGAACAGCACAGCACAGCAATATGGAATACACTCTCCTGCTTCGCTGGCTCTGCATACGCGCGCTGCACCCAAGGTGCCGACTACAACCTCACCGACATCGCAGACCATCCCTCTCAATCCCACCCCCAACTCTCCCGTCTCCCCCAGAGGAAACGTTCCCCTCTCGTTAAAATGCTTCCAGAAACGCAGAGTGAGACATTGGGATACCACGTCAACGTACTCCATACACTAGGTCCGCCGCTCTCGGAAAAAAGTCTCCTCCAGCCAGCTAAGCAAAAAAAAAAAAAACACTTTACAACTACTTCCAAGACATGGGAAATTCTGCCCCATGCCAACGTGCCTAGCCCAGCCCCCCACGAAATACTTACCTACTCCTGCATCAACCAAGGCACAGAAAAAACCACGTGCTCGACAACGGCATCCTACGAGCACGAAAGACCACGAGGAAAAAGCAATAAGCAATTAAAGATCTCCTATCGTCGTGGCACAAACCACCGGACGCAGAGAAGCCTCTCTCTCTATCCATGCTATTTTGCCTCCTCCCCAACCGCCCGGCGAACAAAAGGTCCCTCCCCTCGTCGTATGTTGCACGAGGGCACATGACCGCGCACCATGCATCAGCTTCGCTTACAACGCTCACCGCCGCCGTTCACTGCTGCTCAGCGCTTGCTCGTCCAGCGAGGCGGTCCTCTCAGCTTCCATTCCATGTGTTCTCCGGGCTTGTGTTTTTGCCTCCATCGTGGATCTACAGGTCCACCGTCCACGAGATATTTTCTCGCCTCGAATAACCAGCCCTATTCCTCCCCCCCAGCCACCTCATTTTTTTTTCGTTTGGTACCTTACCTTGCCGCCGGTAAGAAACTCAACAAACAAGGTACGTAACCGCAGCCGCTTCAGGGGAAGCTCTAGAATAATTCCGCCGAGACAAGCAAACATAGCTTAGCAAATACGAGCAGGAAGAAAATCGAGTGAACCGGACTCTCATACCTGTGTAAGTCAAAGAAAGCTCTCTCAAGCTCCAACGCCACCAACAGCCGTCAGCCAAATGCTTACGTCGGGTCTCCATCACATCGATAGTAGACCGCGGGCACCCCGTCCCCAGTCTGTCCCCCCCGGTCCGCATCCCGCCACACCTCTCCATCGTTACACCTCTTCAACCAACCCGTGCATCCCTTCCGCGTCGCCCCGCGCGTGCGAGTGCTAGCTAGCCTAGCGTGCCCGTCATCTGCGGACGTTTGCTCATGGCTCGTGCCGGCCGTAAACGGCGGGAGGACGATGGCGGATGGGGGAGCCTGGGTGGACGGACGGTGGTGGACCAACGGGGCACCATGTCGAATCACAGATAGCGCCGTCCGAATCACACGCGCCTAGGCCGCATGCGGTCTGTAGGGCGGCACGGCGGTTGGGTCCAGGGGTCCAACAGCTTTTGTGTCTCTTCTCTTTGGAGAAAATGGGATTTCTAGCAGACTGGCCCTCCCAGCGCACGGCCGGTCATGCCGGTTTACCCTTCATCTTCTTTGACGTGCTGCAATTGACTTCCAGATGTCAAGATGGAGCGCACGCCATCAGATCTTAGACTATTGTCGGTCACCGTGGCGGCGTGTGGGACGAGGTGAGTAAAGCGCGGGTGCGAACAGATGTGATGGGACAAGGATATTCTCGGCGGTGATGATCTCTGCAGATGTAAGTGCTGCAGTACAGACGTGATCGGATGGTCGACTGGGGAGATGCCGGGATTTCATTCATGTCTATGGCCCCCCTGCCCATTACCCAAAGAGTGTTGTTCGTGCTTGATAAGATGCTGCGAATCTGCCTCGTTTCGCGTTTTTGGGCGGTTGAAAGAGTCAGTTCACCTGGTTTCCCCGCCTGCCCAGAGGGATGACAGGACAGGGGTAAGCGATCTCTTTCACGGCGCAGGTTCCGTGATGCCACGAGGTGGTGTGTTACTCATCTGCTGAGACATGTCAAATTCTCCAATGGAAACTCGAAAATGAGCTTCTCAACTTCTCTTGGTGATGGTCGAGCAGGCAACCCTCATCATTCTTGAGAGCAAAGACCCTATCCTCGGCCGCATCCACTCATCGTCACGGGACGCGGAACTCCCGAAAGACTCGAATTGGCGACCTGCGTAAAATACAAGTCGGGAAGGTGTCGTTGGCCTGCGATTTTGTGAGGTTTAATCCCGCATGGCCTCCCCTCAGTGGGGATATATATGAATGGAGGATTCGCATGTCAAAAAAGGCGTTTTGAGAGCCACTTATCGACGATTCTGTACCCGTCATGCCGTACGCGAGGGATAGCTGACTGCCAATAAGGACGTCAAAGTGGCACAGCAGCCTCTCATTCGCTGCACAGCACTTGGTGGTACCCCCGGCCTGTATGGAAAGCTGAAGATAGATTGCGGTTTGCGCGGCGTGGCTAAAACTTCCATCGCTATGGATCCTGCTGCCGATAAGCGCGGTGTCCAAGTGTTTAATGTCGTGAGATTCAAAAGCATCTGAGAATGACGTTTTCCCATGGTTGCCGTTGCCGCTGCCGCTAGGGTGACGGCTGCTCGCTTCAGGCCGCTCAAGTCGGTCATGCATTTGCACATCTTGCGCCGGCGACCGCACGAGATGCAAACGCCGTGATTCTGCCACGACACTATTGGAAGAGTAGTGGAAGTCGATCGCAATAGTATTGAAATGTCATACGGCATAGACAGGCCGGCCAGCTCGGCTCGCCCTCGATGCCACTCGGCTGCTTCCTGGCGTGTGAGATCCTGACGTTGATCTGAGCGATCGAATGTAAGATGGAGCAGCAATGCGTGGGGCAACAGTTGCCAAGCATCCAGGGCCCCCAGCAACAACCTCGAAATCATTGTAATGTGGATGGTCAACGTGATCCGTCACGAAATGATATGTGATGAGAGCTTTGAGTCGGTCGACTCCGTCTGACAATATGGGAAGCTATTGCGGTATTTGATATAGACATCCTCCATCGGCTGTAAAACTAAGCACAAATATTAGCACGTTGGCCAGGCTGATTAGGCCTTTCGTGGCTCTACAAGCATGAATATCACAGTTGCATTGAGACTGTGAAGTAATCCAGCCGCACAATCCTAGCCTCAGCACAATTAAGTGACTGGATCCTATCAACAGGGCCAGGAACCACTCTGCCACTGTGCCGTGAGGCTCGGTCTCGTGTGATGGATGTCGATCATTGATTGCTAGTTGGTTCTGTCAGGGCTGGCCAGATAACGTCTGGCAGAACGATTCTCGTTCATCGAATGGTCCCTAGCCCGCTCTCGATGCTTTGATTGATGGCTACCGGAAGGATTGTTCATCCTCAGCCGGATGTAAAATAGCTAATACACCTGTGATCAAAGCGGAAACTCGACCGGGAGCGATAACGATCTAGACGGCTAGAGAGGCTACCTAGTTCGACGGCAAAGCAAACACACGACCCCTGCAGTGAAGCCAAGACGATGTACGACATGGCAGGGGTGGGCGAGCTCTGCCCATCAACCCACAACTCCGAAGCGGAGGAAAATTTCATCAAGGCTCGTTCAACTCAATCCGCTAGTCGAGCTATGGTCTCAGCGAGGTGCAGTTAGGTTGCAAGTCAGGCTCGACTACTTAGTACTGCCCGAGCAGCTCGACAAGGTCGCCACGGTACATAGGAAACTTTCCGAAGTGGCGTACTGCGTAATATACAGATTCCAGGGGTTCCTCTCGGTGGAAAAACGTCGCCGTTTGATATTGATGTCTCTCAGCCCCCTCAACGTCGAATATCTTGCAAGGTTTGCTGGCGCCACAAGAAGCTGATTTGACAAGTCGGATCGGCCGCCCTATTTCACGCTTTCACCGGATGCATATGAAGTCTCCGACTTCAAGAGCAATATGGCTGCTCCATCGCATCTTCTCAGAGACTTTCAAGACCAATCGGCCTTTCGTATGATACCTTGAAGGTAACACGAGGGCAAACAAGATGTCAGACAGCACGCATGCCAAAATCGTCGAAAATCTGTCACGTAGGTGCCTAACAACCCGAATAACGAGCTCACCCAACAAGCAGCTAGCCGGCAAGATAGTTGAGGCACGGTCAAGATGGTGGTTGCGGCGGGGGAATTGACCACCCGTTCCGGGGTAGCATCGTGATGGCAAGGAGAAGAGTGGAGGGCACGTTACGTACCTGAAGCTTGTGCATCAGCTTGAAAAAATTGGTCTAAGCGACGGTCAATGAATGAGGCGGCCGTGGGTTGAACCATGCTCTCAACATGCAGCCATACCTTAATCCGTACTTCAGTCATGCACGGGGAAGCGGCCGGTGAGGTTGCATGCTGGACGAGTGTGAAGCTGATTAGCGGCCGATGAAGGTGCAATAGCAAGGCTGTTCCGTCTTCCCATGTCATTGGGCTGCCATCGGATGGTTTTTTCCAGGGGCATTGACGAGGAACTGATATCCGGGGTCCAAAAGGTAGGCCAGACCGGGATGGGTAACTTCAATGGGTGTGGCCAAGGAGCGAATTGATGTGGCAGGTGGACGAATATGTCGATATGTGCAGCAACGTTCGTTCCTTCGGCCCTGAGTGAGACATGTAACGAATGCCCCGACTGGCAGTGAAGCTTGGTGATGTAATAGAGTGCGTCTCATCGTAGCGGCGGGACATTGCGATGGACCTCATTGTTGGCCAATTCCCCACAATGGTAGAGACGTTGAACAGAGAGAGGCGAGCATTGATTGGGCACTCAGCAGGCAACGCCAATTGAAGTGCTTTGAGTTGGGTGCTGGGATTCGGAAGCTCTATCTGATACGGATCAGGTCGACTGGGGGTCTGTGTTGTGCATGGTGTTCGAGGTATGCAGGTAGCAGTGATCGTCTCGCAAGGACAGAGAACCAAAGGCGGGCAGATGCAGCAATGGTGCAGCCTCAATCCTTGAGAGGGCTGGCCTGTGTGGACGGACCGGGAGTCTTAGGCAGTACTCGGTAGAGACTAGAGCTGTGGATGAGAAGGTGGAGGGTTCGGAGTGAAGCATTGCACGTTGCCAGGCCGTTGAATTGCTCCATCAGTGTGCAGTGTGCAGACAGGGCGAGGCCGCGAGAGGGCGAGAGGGAACACAAAGTTCCGAGCTTCAAGCACAAGTAGTGGGGATTGGTGATGGATGGTGGCCGCTTGTGTGCCGGCCAGCGGGATGTGATTCCAGACCCGTACCGGCAGAGGCGATGGCGAATTCGCGATGGATGCAGAATAGTGGCGTTCGTTCGAGTCCAGCCCCTGGAACTAAGGAGCCGATCGAGTTCGTACGTTGCAATGGTAGGTATTGTAACGGGAGTGACGGGTTTGACGTTGTCGATGAGAAATGGTAATGTTCCTGAAACTGGAGGGAAGAGGTCGGATGGTGTGTCAGTGGCCAAACAGGCACACAGCCAGATTGGGATATCATTGATGGAGTTGATGGAGTTGGTGGAGGGTGGATTGAGGTCAAACGGGGAGAAATAAGTGAGGTACGTACTCCCAGAAGAACAAACAAAAAATACGAACCAGATGGATAACTGAGGAATTCCGAATTGTGCACCAGTAAGGTACCTGACGGAGTACAGATGGAAGGAGCGGTGCACTGAGATAGTCCGTAGATACCTACCTAAGGTATTAGTTGACGGGAGGAAGGAAGGAAGTAACAAAGTAATAGTAGAGGAAGGTGGAGGTCCATGAGGTGAGGTTGGAAAGGTGGCACAGACGGGGAAACCGGCGAGAGGTAGCGGCTACCTCCAACATTGCCGCCGCTCGGGGCGGAATAGAGACGCGAACAGTAAGTAGTGGCTACTTCTGGGTGGATCCAAGTGGATCAGTCCAACGGGATGTTAAAAGCGACGAACCAGTCAGACGCACGTCCATGGGCATCCCTGCAATGCATCTGCTGAACAGCAGGCACATGCGGCTCCGGATTGGCCCCATGCAAGTTCCTTAGGCGCCATCACCCTTTCCTCGGCGCGTAGACTGTTCAACCCCGGCTCCCTGTCCTCCTCCTTCCCCTCCCCTCAACCTATCCTCACTCTCGTCCCGTCCTCTCTCGATTCTCTCTCCCGGTCCACGCAAACGACCTTCAAACCAAGCCTCTCTCTCCTCCCCCAACCATGCTCTTTTCCTCACTTCCCGCCGCTCTGGCCATGTCCGTCTCTCTATGCTGCGCTGCCTTTCAACCCTTCGACAGGCTCTCAAGCCTGTTCAAGAATCCGTCCTAGCAACTAGTCATCCATGGCCACCGAGGCGAATCAAGCCTGTTTGTACCAGGATTCACGACCGTGACCACCGCCGAGAAGAGGGGAGTCATGCCACTGGTCCCCCGTCTTCAGATTTGGATACCTGCGCACTACATCTCCTTCTGCGTACATACCGCGCATCTGCCATTCCACAGCAGTCCTGTAAGGTACCTTTGGCGCCCCCAAAGAGACATACGCTGTCTTCACTGCCTCACTGTCAACCATTACTCGATACAGCAATGCAAAGTCAAATCATCAGGGGGAAAGCGGAGCTGGATATCCAAAGCGAGACACGCTTGTTGGAGAACAGCCGCCGATGGGACGTCACTGCGAGTCAAAGACCAGACGATTCGGTTGGATTCTTCATCTGCTCCTTCATTGTTCTTTCTTTGTCTCGCTATGCGTGGTGGGCTGGGCACGATCTTGGAGACAAGAACCTAATGATGAGATGGCCCGGCCGTCACAATCACGAGACGGGGAATTCAAGCTGGGCTGAGAGGGAGCCAGTGCCGCCTCAGCCCAACTTGATAGGTTGATATTCCTGTCGCCCGCCCGCGCGCACATACGCACGCAGGTTAAGCAAGCATCGCAAGCAGCAAGTAGCGGCAGCGTGCCAGCAGCATCAAGCAGGATCTCGCGAAAAAAGAAGAGACTGGCACTGGCTAGCACCGCGCGAGAAGAGGACCGGAGACCTAATTATGGCAAAATATTGATGTACTGCCCTGTTCAGACGCACTCTGCTTGCCTCGATACTTCGTCAAGTCGCCCAACCACGCCGCTCATGGCATTCGACCATCTCCACCATGCCATGACCCCCCCGTCGTCCTGCTGCATATTCCCCAATTCTGTCCCCCTCGGCACGCGGTGGCTTGCACCTTGCACACCTTGACTGGTCCCCTTCCACTGGCTTGACAGGGTCCCTCGACGACAAGCACCCCGGTCTACATAGCATGCAGCGTCTTGGCTCGTCCAGATGAGCCGGACCGTATCCGCTCCCAGATACCTCGACCGTTCACTGAACAGCTCTAATTTTATGGTCAAGATTGATCGTCCAGTGACAAGTCAGCTCCAAAACTTAGGCGCCATGCTCCATGTTGCTTGACTTTCTTCCCATTTGGCTCCATCACACCCCGTCCACACTGGCACACACCCCCTTCGAGCAGCAGCCTCTCTTATTTTCCATCGTCTTTTCGATTCCTTTTCTTTTCTTTTCCCTTTCCGTCGTCAGTCTGTAAGAAAGAAAACCCTCTCTCCCTGCTTGTGTGTCTCTGTAAAAATCGAGTTGCACACTTGACAGAATCTTCCTGCAAGACAAGCGCCGGCACACCCCCTCGACGAAGACTTATCCAGTGAGCTTTCTCTCTACGTCCAACAACGTCAACTTCAACAGAGACAACCTCATCGCTTCACACCCTTCCACCTGCGTCTATAGCGTCTTTGCCCCCCCTCCTCAACACGTCCCGACAGACTGTAACCGTCTTTAACACGCCGGCTCCCAGACTTTCTTCTCTTTCTTCTCCTGTCCTACTTTTATCCGGTAACTCACTGGCAACGAAGAAAAAAAAAAGGACCAACAGCCCCGCGCCGTAAAAGAGAGACATTAGAGTGCAACGGCACAACCAGCAACCGTAACACGACAGCAGGCAGAAGATACCGCTACTCTAGCACGCCTACGAAGAGCTTTGCGAAAAGTCTCTGCAACCTGGAAACGTGGAAGGACAGCCGGCCCGGGAACGGACATTGAACAGTGCTTCATGTGATGGTTGGATTGGAAGAAGTGTAGCTTCCCGACTGCCTTTGGTTCGCCACGAAGCAGCCGGACGGTGCTGTGATCGTCTCGGATTGGTGAGTAGGCCTGTCTCACAGGAGTCACCCACCTGTTTCTCGGCTTGAGAGGGCTCAAAGGTTCTGGTCTGGCAGACACGGACCTTGCAGCCGTTGCCCTGCCTTGAAGTCGTCCTCCCCAAATGCAGCTTGCCGACTAACATCGCACCGGGTCCCAGATCGAAATCCGAAAAAGGATATAGTGCCATCATGTCCGCCTCCGCGAGAAACCGAACCGCTACCGTCAGCTCCGGGCAATCGTCACAAAGAGGTCGGAGCAATGAGATGCAGGATTTCAACATGTCGCAGCCCAACATCATGCGGTACTTCGAGCCATGCGCCGCCACGGCGTCCATGTTCTTGTATGCCCAGGGTTCTTCCATCGTATGCTGCCACCACGACACTCTCACAATAGAAAGAAGATTTTCAAGGCACTCGGACGAGGTGCAGTTGCTCGCAGTTGATACGCAAAGCGAGATTGGAGCCGGAAGGCTGGTAGTCAGTTACGATGCCGGGCAGACAGCCATTGTCTGGGATATTATGACGGGCGACGAAGTAGCCCGATTCGCTTCATACGAGCACTTGACAACTGCTGCGTGGATGCGCAATGGCAATGTTGCATTTGGTATGTTTATGTCCGAAAAATCTCACATAGTATACACTAACAGATGGCTTTAGGTAATACGCAGGGCAACATTATTCTATTCGAGCCCACAACATCAGAGCATATCTCTTCGAGAACGATTGACCAGATTGCCGTGACAGCGCTTGCACCAGCCGCAGACTGTAGGACATTTGCGATCGGGTAAGCTTAAAGAACTCCAACGGGCTTCGCAAAACAAAGTTGCTAACTCTTCATAGATACCAAAATGGCTCGTTGTTGGTCGCAACTCTTCAGCCACGATTCACTATCCTCCACAACCTAGGCACATCAAGAGCACCTTCGCCTATCGTCACGCTCAACTGGCATGCCTCGTCGTCTCGTCAAAAATCGGACATGCTGGCATCACAGACCCATGATGGCGACCTCCGAGTTTGGAGTGTGTCCAAGTCGTACAGCAGCGATGACCCCGCCAAGGTTGTGAGGATTCTCAAGCGCACCGATAACTACCAAACCGGTCCCAACTGGATGGGCTGGTCAAAAAACGGCCGCATTATCCAACATTCTGACTCGTACGTCATTCTTTGCCACTTGAGGCTTACGCGCGCGCTTAGAACTTGCACTGACTTCTATCACACTAGGGAAACACTATCGTGGGATGTCCGTACTAAGCACGTTACTTGGGATAGTATCCCGACGCTCGAGCACGTCAGAGGCCTGGCCGTGTACGGCCCCGGCGCCAGCCTCTTCACCCTGGGAGCCAACAACACCGTACAGCAATTCGACCTTAACACCCCTTCCATCATAGTTGCTAATGTACAGCACCCGGCCAACTTGTTGCCACCATCACCGCCTGTCTCGATAGAGGAACAGCAGGGACAGAAAACATCAACAACCATCGTTACTGACTCGGATGCCACGTCTGGTTCAATTGAGCTCGGCATTTCGGAGAGTGACGAAGATCACTTGTCTCCCTTTGACCGTATAGTTAGCCGGAAGGACACAGGCACGCCCAAGGCGCTCGACCCTTACGATGCCGATACCGCAAGCGCGGCTTCTAGCCGCAGCGGACTGTCTTCCATCTCGCGATCCTCCGGAGGATCTCGGACGCCCGGACGGTACCCGTCGTCGGCCGTCTCTCGAGGCATGACTGAAAACACCTACATCTCTGCCGGATCGTCTCTCAGATCTTCTGCTGCACCTTACCAAGAACGAGACATGTATTCCATGAGCGGAACGTCAATGATGAGCGGCACCTCCATGTCCTCATACCGCTCTCGCCGTTCTAGGCCATCCCGTCTACGAAATGAGGTCTTGCCGAGCCCTGTCGACAGCAAGGTCCAGGATCTCTTCAAGTACACCAGGAGCCGGCTCAGCGACATTCCTTACAAGCACCCGATCGGGGGTGACCATAGCCGACTCACGAATGACGATCTCCGCAAGCAGATGCTTAGCACCATCTTTGGATGGAACAAGGAGATTGACGACTTGGTCAGAGAGGAATTGAGCCGACACAATGCGGCTTCACCGGCGCGTATTCTTCTGATGAGATGGCTGGGCGATATTGACGCAGATGTCATGGCAGCGAGCTCAGCCTCAATGACTTCTTCTGACTGGATGTTGCTAGCCCTCAGTGGTATTGGAGGCCAAGCTTCGCAGCACAAGCTGGGGCGCGCCTACGTTCAAAGACTCCTGGAGCACGGTGATCTTCACGCCGCTGTTACCATTCTAATTGGCATGGGTGATCACAATGATGCCATTGAGATTTACGTGTCCCACAAGAAGTACATGGAGGCGCTTATCCTGACTTGTCTCTTCTATCCCGCCGTCTGGGAACGACAGGCAGCTATCATCAAGAAATGGGGCGAATGGGCTGTTATGCACGGGCAACAGCAGCTTGCCGTGAGATGGTATGTTTTCTCTATAAGTGAACATAATGGTACGATGCGCTAACAGATTTCCAGTTTCGCCTGCACTGGTGCCGAGTCTGATGAGCCATGGACATCACCTTCTGCTGCCCAAGTGACCTTCCAGAGCATCAACCAGAACGTTCATGAGAATATCCCGGAGGTCCTGTCACCTCCTCTCTCGCCTCCCGGCATTAACCGTGGACCCCAAAGAAGCATCGCCAAGACGTCCGCTCTGAAGCTGATCACGTCTTTTGGCGAGCAGCAAGGGAAATCAAAGTTCTTCTCTCAAGGAGACGGCGGACAGACTCCTATCGCCGCGGGCCCAACACCCATCGCCGATTCTGCAGTCTCCCCTGGTGGATATGATGTCACCACTGCCTTCATCCGCCCACCAAACCGCAGCCAATTCAACACCCCGAACTCGGCGAGATCCGGAGCATCTGCCTTCAGTCGCAAGCGCCTCCCTTCCATCGGTGAGATTCCAGGAGACTTGTCTCGTGAACAACTTCAGGTTGACGTTGAGGAATCTCGACGTGCTATGCAACTGCGCATGTCTTCTGCCGAGCAGGAAAATCTCGCTGCTGGCCTGTCTCTGCAGAGGGCTGCCACAGCAAGCCCGATGATGATGCGTGACCAGTACAAAAAGATCACCACACGGACAAGAGAAGCGCCTCCCCCATCTCCTGATGCTAGAATGATTATCAAGATGGAAGGCAGCATGGCCCAGCGCAACGGTTCCCGAGACCGCAAGCCAAAGGGACTTCATCTTGAGCTTGCAGGTCTGAACAACATGGCCAATGAGATCACCTCTCCCGAGCAGTCGGTGGCATCTTCCACCCGTTTCCACTGGCCTTCCCGACGTAGGGGACCCGGCTCCGTCACAGGCTCTGTTACGTCTCAATCCACCACCGGCAAAAGCATCCGCAGCAACACTACGGGTGGGCGACAGGACTACATCCACAGCCTCGACACTGCCCAGCGCTTGCAACAACGCAAGCAGCGAAGCCGACATGCCAGTCGAGAGGGCAAGCGCGATGGCTCCCGTGGCCGCGACCGTGACCACAGCCGCACTCGCAAGACATCTTCTCGCGAAGCTTCCGCTGAGCGTGGCCGTGCCTCTAGCCGCAACTGGCCCAAGGCAAAGCGCTCCCCAACCTCGCCCATCCCTATGTCGCCCGAGGATCTCATCAACCTGAGCACACCCAAGTTCTTGCCGGATGTCGGAGAGCCCGCCACAGTGAGGAAGTCTAGCAAGAGCAGGAAGGGTACTAGTCGCGCATCCAGCCGGGGTAGCCAAGGCCGCAACAGAAGCCCCGAAGGCAGACATCGCCCTCCTGCGCTTGAACTCCGCGGCCGAAGTGCGGACCGGACTGGCTCTCACGCCAGGTCACCTTCGTCTCCTCTACCTCTGTCAGCCAATCTTGTCCACTACCAGGGGTCTGAAGACGAGGAGGACTATGTCAAGGCTGTTGTTGCCCAAGAGAACTTCAGAAACAGACACAACAGAAGCACCAGCCAGCATGGGTCCCGCAAGGCGCTCTCACCTGAGCTTACCAGAGAGTTCCCTCGACGAGACCGATCCGAGAGTCGCCGTCGCCACGCTGGTGAGAACCTGGATCAATCCCGCGATATTGCGCCTCCCCAATCCAAGTCTCGTGCCGCCTCTACAGAGCACGCTGGAGACTTGAAGGCTATGAAGGATGAGAGGCAGCGTAAGAAGGAGGAAGCTGCTCGCGAGCTCGAGGAACGTCGCAAGTCCCTCGCACAACGTCCCTCGGCGCCACCAATTCCCCACCCCAACCACATCCGAATCGGTATTGAATCATCCCCAAGTGCCGTTGAGCTTCCGCCTCGCAGCCACACTGCCGACCCTACTACCAACAGAAGCATGTACGCACGCAGCAGCTCCAATGTGCACATTGGTTTGCCCGCAACGCCCAAGGCCATGCGTCTCATCATCGAGTCGGACAAAGACAAGAACAGCATTCCGGTGCCCCCGATCCCGGCTACGTTTGCCCAGAGACATTCCCCGGTGACTTCTCCCCAGCAGCAGTCCCCCGAGAAAGAGCAGTCTGCCGAGACCCTCACTTTGCTCCCTCAGACAACTTACCAGCTTCCTTCCACGGTCTATCAACCTCCCAACCGCGGAATGATTCCTCGCAGCATGTCGGCCCCGCCCGTCCCTCCTGATGCGCCCTCCCCTAGAGGTCCTAGCGCCAGCAGCAAAGGTCTTTCTCGCGGTCCTTCCATGAGAAGAGGTCACTCTGGTGAGATTCGCACTGTCGATGACATGATCCGGGTCAGACGTGCCTCCCAAGAAAGCAACAACTACGGAAGCATCCCACCGCCGCCGCCTCCTCCTCCTGCTCCGCCAATGTTGAAGGAGCTTCAGCACCTTGCGATGCCTCCTCCCCCGCCCCCGGCGCCTCTCCCGTACACCGCCCACATCCAACCCGTGACCATGGGTTCCGGTATGATTGAGATTGTCATGGACGACGATGACGTTATCCAAACGACTATTGCTGCTCCCATGGACACAACAGTCCCAGTAATTCCACCACCCGCCCCGCCCGTGTCCAAGGGTGGTCACAGCCGAGGACGCAGCTTCTCTGAACGAGACAACAGCATCGCTGGCCGATTCTCCAAGGCGACCGACCGCTTCAGGTCCGGCAGCCGCAACCGCAAGGAGCCCTCAGCGCGGCCCCGCGGTCAGGAGGACTACGAATACGCCCCTTATGAGAGCGTACCTATGCCAATGAACTATGGCCGCGAGTCGATGCGATCTCCCCCCGCCATGGCGCAGAAGAGCTTGCCTACTGGCCTGCACCACAGCGAGATGATTTGATTTGGTCTTCCTGCTGGAAAAAGTTTCTACACTCCCCAATCCCTTAATTAGCTTTACACATCACATGTCGATTCGTTGCATGGCGACAGGCGTTTCTCGATGAATCTCGATACCATTACTTTTTTTCCACGACCAACGAACACGAACAACACACTTTGCAGTGTGGCAGCTCTGGGGCCGCCCGAACCACAACAACAGCAGTTAGAAGCCGCCTTTTGTATACTTCGAGTCTATCCTTGACGACGAACATTGGAACGCGGAGTGAAATGCCATTTCTTCTCCAATTTCTTGTTATCTTTCAACTCTTTTTCGTTACACTTCTTGTTTTGCATTCTTAACTTCTCAAATGATGACTGATGATGGCTGGATCTTGGGATTTCGGGGCAGAGCCGCGAGGCAATACACATGAACACACGATACCTGTAGTGGGAAGAGCGGCTATGTACGTGATGGAATGAACAGTCGTCGCGGGGGAAGGTCGAAAGGGGCCAGATGGAAACGAAAACAGAGAAAAAGCTGGATGGTTTTCAAGATGACACCGTCTTGCACCAACGAGTATGATGATGATGAGAGAGAGAGAGAGAGAGAGAGAGAGAGAGAGAGAGAGAGAGAGAGAGAGAGAGAGAGAGAGAGAGAGAGAGAGGAGGAGGAGGAGGACGGAAGGGTTGGAACAGGATGGGTGAAAAGGGACCGAAAAGTGCTGGAAACGCGTGTCTTACAATGTTGCCTCACGGCATCTTTGTTCATCTAGTTGAAGGGTACGGGGATTCTTCCTTCCCCCGCCTCTTTTCATTTCTTTAACTTTTCTTTCCTTTTCAGATCTGCTTCTCCAAGTCGTTGACTGGATTGCAATTGATGTTGGTCTTTTATTCCCTTTTTGAGCGGGTGATGATAGCTATGTGGCTTGCTCGTCGAGATGGCCACGTACAGGCTAAAAATTGAGAAGAATGCAAACTGATTCCGAGACTATTGAGACATGACTGTGTCATATGAGAGTATCAATACAGTGACTCCGATAATTCAATTGAGTTTGGTCCAGAGGGAAAGGCGGAAAAAAAACGAAACAGGTCTGTCGTGAACTGGGATTGAACCATGTGCGAAAGAAATTGTGCCGAAAAAGGTACTTCTCAACACCCCGAAAAACATCGTCAACTGTGCACACAGTAGGCGTTCGTCTCAATTACCAGCGACAGCAATCAGACGGTCGCAACCGCGATGCACATGCATCTACCGACCGGTACGATATCTGATCCCAAAAAAGTCAAAAAGTTGGAGTCGGGATTTCTATCCTCCTCCACTACCCCAAGCCCCCAGCGATCGTAATCCAGCACGCCATGCGACGGTGAAGATACCTCTGCAGAGTGAAACCTCCCTCAAGTGTCATCTTCATTGCTTAGGGCCACACGCAGCGATCGCAGGTTACCCGTGCGAGTGGGTGGCCACCGCAGCATTCGCACTGGGCGCCGCTGAGGGGTTCCAATGTGGATGGGATAGCGGAAGAAGAGTAATGAAAGCCTTCAACCATTTGACCATTACAGCCGGTGGTTGCGAACATAATTGTACTTCAAGTAGGGTTGGGGGCTGGCGGGGGACGTGCGGTGGTTCTTGGGTGGATCTGCTGAGGTAAGCAGGGTATTTGCGCGTGTAGGTGTAGGAGCTCCCAGCACTCAACGCGCCCGCGAACATCTCCACCGAGTACCGACCTAAGCTTCCAATGGAAGTTCCATCATCCACCCCAGTTTGCAATTCTGGTTGGACTTGACGTCGCGATTGCGCCCAGGGGTTCTGGCTCTCCGAAGCTCTCACCAACTTTTCTAAACCAAACCATCAAGCCGTCTTGAACCCGCACAATATCAATGGCACCATAGCAGTCTTTTCCTGTTCTCAATTTTCGAGCTGCTTCTGCTTCTTTGCAGCATCACCCAAACTCCACGATGCTCGCAGCAACCCCCCGCCTCCACGTCCGGCGCCCCTCGCCAACAACAGCCGAATTCACAGTAACAACCCGCCCACCACCAACCCTCGCAGTCCGCGTCCTCTCAGGCCTCCTCTTCACCCTCCGCATCCTCCTCTTCTTCTCCTCGATTCTCCTCCTCCAAGCAGCCCTGGCAGAATCACCATACGTCATCTCCCTCCTCTCCGCATCGACAAGAGCGAAACCCACCGTAACCGCAACTGCAAACGACGGCCCAGACGCCCTCTTCTCGAGCGCAACGCTCTGGCAGGTCCTCCTCTTCATACGTACCTCGGCGCCAGGCCGTCTAGCGCACGCCGCGGCAGCATCGCATGCGATACCGCTACCCGTCCTGGTTCCGGGGTGTCTGCTCGCGGCGTACGCGACGCTGAAGCGCACGCATACCACTGAGAGTTTACTCGTGCTGCGCGGGCTGGGGATACAGACGAGTTCGACGAGTGGGAGTTATCTGTCGGCTGCCGCGACGCGGTTCATACCTACCGAGAAGATTCAGGACGTGCTTGTGAATGAAGCGTTCAGGGGCTTCGAGGTGCGGTACTATTTGATTGTCATTGTCGAGGGGGAAGAGGATATCGTCGTCGTGTTCCCTAGGATACTACCCAAGAAGAAGATTGTCGAGACGGTGTGGAGAGGCGTAAGGGGGTGTCTGTGGGAAGCGGATGGCGGGAGTAGTAATAGGAAGATGGATGATAGATGGCAGAACGGGGTATGACAGGTCCCTCGTAGCCTTGACGAATTCATGATCTGACCAAAGCTTTCTACTTTATCTTTTTCTTTATGATAGGGGACATGTAGCCATGACCTACTCATCCCCATCACCCGCCGCAGCAGCCTGCTTGGCATCCTTAATGGCCTTCCTCCAATTCTTCGACTCCCTCATCTCATCCGAGTTCTTGAAGCCCTTACGCTGCGCCCACCGGTCATTAATCTCCGCCGGCGACGGCGTCAACTGCTTCTTCGCAATCGGCACGTACCCGCCCGACAGCTTCCCCTCGTGCCCGCCCTGGAATACCCTCTTCCCTTTCGCTTTCGACTCGGTCCCCTGCACCTGTCTCGAGACGAGGTCCAGCAGGCGGTTCGCGAGCAGCTCGTCCATCTTCTTCTCGCGGTAGTGCGACCACAGGTTCTCGACCACGTCAGCCTCGCCGTATACCCAGCGCAGCGCATTCTCCGCGTCGTTAAGTGTCCGGCTTTCGTCGTCGCCTGGGAAGACGCAGTTCCAGAGCACCAGCGGCGTCTCGTGCGCCAGATCGTAATTCGGCTTCCGCGGCGTGTTTTCGACATCTAACAACCGCGTCACGAGGTCAGGCGTTTCCAGGCGCTGGCCGATGAGGAACAGAATCGTAACCATATGCCGGATCTGATGCCACAGGAACGCTGTCCCGCGGATATTGAACGAATACACTTTCGGAAGCTGGCTTCCATCAACAGCACTGGCGCCCAGATACGGCAGCGCCGTACCCACGTCTTTCACCTCCTCGACGCCGGCCTCGAACATGCGCCGCTCAAAGTTTGTAATCTGCTTACTCCCGTCCACCTTGCAAAAGTTACGGAAGTCGTGGCTGCCAATGAAATTCTGCGCGGCCTGGTTCATGGCGTCGATGTCGAGGTAACCCTCCTTCATGCCGTCCGGCGTGCCATCGACGGTGATCGCCGTGGGTGTGAAGGCGGGCTGGGTGAAGAAGTAGCGGTACTGGCGCTCCTCGCACGAGAAGCGGGCGGAGAAGTCTGGCGGCGGGGAGGGGCACCAGGCGATGATGCGGATGTCGTCGGGGAGGAGGCGGTTGAGGACCTTGACGTACTGGATCTCGTCGTTGATCTCGTCCCAGACCCTTTCGGGCTTCTTCTCCTTCTGTTCCTCCTCGACCTTGTCCGTGCCCTCCATCGGAGTGTCGTCCCCTTCCGTCTCAGCGGCTGGTGCAGGATCCTCTTGCTTCTTGGGCACTGGTCTGTTACTCCGCACCCTCAACCCGATAACCTGTCCAAACGCGCTCACGCCGCGATCCGTCCTCCCGCACTTGGAGTACTCGCAGCAGTCAAAGTTGACAACATCCTGATCCTCGGGGAAGATGAGGCAAGACTTTGTCAGGGCGTTCCACAGCTCGCCCTCGATCGTCGGCAGACTCGCCGAGGTGGCGTACTCGAATCCGCCGTACCGCTTGCCCAGGTACGCCAGCTTCAGCGCGATGAAGCGGGTGGAGTACCGTGACGAGTCGATCCGCTTGGCCTCCTTCTTTCTCTTCTTCACCGGCGGGGCCCCGTCTGTTGCTGCTACTACTGCAGCACCGGTGCCGTTCTTGGTGGTGCTGCTGGGGGCACCGGACCCGGCTCCGGAGGCCTTTGATGCCGCATCCCGCTTGTCGAGTTCATGCTCGAGCTGTCTTATGCGGGAGATGAGACGCGCCTGGTCCCATGACTCGTACCGTCCGCTCACATCGGCCATGTTTGCGACGGGAGCGGTGCTGAAGCCCCTAGCCGCGAATATAGAGGATGGTCGGTAAGGATGAGTGAGATGCTGGTGAGTAGTAGTGAAACGACGCAGATGGTGGCGGTGTTGATAATGCCCTCCCCGACGGACTAAAACTTGTGAGCAGCCGTGTAATAGACCTCCAGCGTGCCTCGATAGGTTCAGAGTCGGGCTTGGCGGGCAATGCAGACAGAGACCCCAAAACAATTCATGTAAGGGCTTCATATGCCTTCTCTCTCTCTCATGTGAGTTTTTGGGAATTTTTGGAGGGGTGGTGGTGGTTTAGACGCGGACCGGCATCATGCGGGTACCTTTGGGCCCAGAAGAGTCACTTTTGGAGGGGCCGGCGCATGCAAGTTGAGTGACAACCAATTTTTATTTCTTTTTATTTCTTAGCATCAACTTTTTTTCGTCGCCCTGTAGAAAACAAAATGTGGCTTGTGCTGTGGCTGTAGCTCGACTCCACACTCTCATCCTCCCCTCATGGAGAAAGCCGAACCATTGCGACGGGACCAGTGGGCGCGAAATGGGCACTGTGTTTCTGGTGCTGGAGTCTTG